AGGGAGGAAGGTATTATACAAAGTACGTACTTTATAAACATACACCAAATTTAAATTTGACTTTATCCTANAAATATATTAATATTTAGTATTTATAATTCTATTATATAAATATATTAGTATTTATAATTCTTACTATTATAATAGAAATACTAACGCAATGAAAAAGAAAAAAAAAACTTCTCTATGGAACTCTACGAAAAAGAAAAATATAAAATTTTGTGATTCGTTTAGAAGAATCAAGTTAATATAGTTCTTTGCTAATTTTCTTAGTTCATTTCATACAATGTTTTTCTTAAAAATGTGTTATAAAAATTTCGCATACAATTCTTGAAAAAAACAGACGAAAATTTGTTGGTTTCACGTTGCTGTTGTTAAAAACGGCTAAATTTTCATTTGCTTCCTTTAAAAATTTAAAAAGAAATTCCTGCAAGCACATTTTAAAATAAACTTTAAAAATGAACATGATATCATGAAAATTAACTGAGACTATATTAACTTGATTGACAAAAAATAAAGTTTCCTTTTTAAATTTATTTTATTTCACACTTTTTCTCATCTTAGAAATTCGAGAAGTCTTTGTAAAACAAATTTCGATTATTTTTTTTTTAATAATATTTTCTTATCGTTGTAAATTTGGTACTGGCATTAAACTTCGATTTGAGGTCAGATGAAGTTATATATTTATACTATTTATTACCAGAAAGATAAGCTTCTATAAATCTAATTAATTCGATGGGAAAAATTCTTACATTGTTCACCAGATGATGTATTATAAAATTCACGAACAAAGTGACAAATAAAATTTGTTAAAAATATATATTTAAAGTGGACCAGAAACGCAGGACACATCACTTTGGAATGACATGAGGGGGAATTTTCGATGGCGATAGAAGTTCATTACGAAAGTGATACTCTCTGCGCTATTCGTTTGATAAAAATAGAATGGTTTTCTCTCTCTCTTTGCACGCTTCCAAAACGTACTTTTAATTTATTTTTTTTTAATATCTTATTTTCTTCTAAGTTATTTGTTTATCTCTTTATGCAAAGTTGTCGAAATTTCAATTGACGATAAAATGCTGACAGGCAGTTGAAATTTGAGTAATCTAGCAATTAGGAAAGCGGTGGAAACTTGATTAACAATGGCAATATATTCTATTATGGCGATAAGCATTTCTTGCAGTTGTTAGGAAACATTGTTAGTTTACATTGTCGATAGGCACAGAGTTCCAGTTGAAAGCTATTCCCCTTGTAATATTTGAAAGTGGTCGAAACTTCGATTGATACAATGATAAGAAAACATTTAAACGTCTATTGTTATCAGGCATAGAAGTTCAGTTAAAATTCGATCATTTTAGTTGCTGTGTGAATAAAAAACTAAAGTTACTGCCTGTCAGATCATTACCAAGTTAGAAAATAAGACATTGTGACGCCAATTTTATTTACAAGGAATATTAACTTCTAAATGATGAGTTTGCTCAAGGAATCCAAAGACTTCTGTATGCCACTGAGGCTTTTTTTTAAATTTTTTATAACCGTCGTTGAACAGCCGAACCAATTTTTTGGAGTTACGACAACTAATGTTCAATTCCGTAACCTTGTCATTTTGAATCTAAACTAGAAGACAAAAAAACTCCTGGATCAAGCATTGGGAGAAGTTGGTATTTGTGCAGGACTTTTTGATGAAATTAACTTGCATTTGCGTTACATAGTGAAGAAAACCACATAAACCTTCTACGGTTAACCTCGGTAAGGGGTCTCCAACCCATTATCTACCTACCGATTCAGCACTGTGGTCGGTGCAAGCCCGATGCGGAATTCGTATCGACCAGCCTTAGCTGGGATTCGATCCCGGTTCACCTCATTGGAAGGCGAACGCTCTATCCCCTGAGCCATCACGGCTCACTGGTGTTTATTATTTTCATATTTTATAACCGTCGTTGAACAGTCGACCCAATTTTTGGGTTTACGACTTCGAATGTTCAACTCCGTAGCCTTGTAATTTTGAACCCAATCCAGAAGACAAAGGAACTCTTGGTTCAAGTATTGGGAGAAATTTTCTTTCATAGAGGACTTTTTGATGGAAATAACCCGCTTTGACGTTACATAGTGAAGAGAACCTCCCACGATTAACCTGACGACAAAGGAACTCTAAGCCATAATCCGTCTACCACTGAGGATATTTCACGTCAGCACTATGATCGGTGCAAGCCAGATGCGGATTCTTATCGTCCAGCCATCGCCGGGATTAACACCCGGTTCACATCATTGGAAGGCGAAGGCTCTATCCCCTGAGCTCACAGGGGTTTATTAATATAACCGTGGTTGAACAGTCGACCCAATTCTGGGTTTACGACTACCAATATTCAACTCCATATACTTGTAATTTTGATCACCATCCAGAAGACAAGGAAACTCCTGGATCAGTGCCCCCAGAGGTATTGATTTGTTATGGGAAATTGGAGGACTTTGTGACCCCGACAGATTTAACGTGCATCAGTCACCATTTACTACACGGGGAGTCATTGGGGGTATATAATCTTAAGAAACTTATCACAGACATAGGTGCGCCCACAGCACGTTTTATAAATGCACCCTAACTTTAGACTAAAAAAATTTTAAATTATAATATGAAACATGAGCACTTTGAAGAAACATTCGGGAATTTATAATCATTCATTTTATTTTAATTTATAAATTTCAATTCAAATTATTTTAATATTAATTAATAAGGAATAAATAATTGTGACGGAAAGGCTGATTTTAGAAAAAGTACTATATTGGAACAAGGCAAACATTTAACGGCTAACCACATTAAAATTAAATTTATGTTAATACTAGAAACTAGCTCATTATCTTACGATAATTATATTTAGAGTTTAGTTAAGGATTATTTTTATTCGTAAAGTGAAATAAAAAATATTTATATAGAATGGGTATACAACATTTTTGAATGAAGTATTTAGACACGTTGCCGGCAATTATGATACATTTAATGTAAACATCAGTGTTTCAGACACAGTTCTTTATAACAGTCAACTTAGTAATATCTTTGCATAAAATTAAATTCTTTTAAATATTAAAACTTATTCAAAACTGAGGAATAACAAACGGATTACTTTTCAAAATAAAAAAAAATAAAGATGGGGAAAAGAGGTTTTTTATGACATCACGTAAATACGAGAGTATTTTAAAATAAATTAACTGCTCTGAATGAAATTTAATGTTCTTGAATAAAAGTAAAAAATAAATATTTTACTGACCAACATAAATGCAAATTAAATATTTTAATTAAAGAAATTGTGAAAGGTCTTCAAATAATTTTTTTTTTTTTTTAAATAAAAACTGCTCCCGTTTATACAACCTATGCCATTGATTCTACCCATATAAACAAATTTTGATTTCCTTTTCTTAAAAAAATTTCTAGATAAAAACGGACACTTAGAAAATGGCTGTCTATTTTTTTCATATGAATCTTATTGTGGATAAAGTAATAAAATTCACTAATGGCCCAGCACGAGTCCTGGTGGCTCAGGAAATAGAACGTTCGCCTATCAATGAGGACACCCAGGCTTGAATCGCACTGACGTAAAATATCTTTAGTGATATTTGGATTATGGGTTAGAATCCCCTTGCCGTCAGGCTAACAGTGAGAGGTTAATATGGTTTTCCTCTCTATGTAACCCAAATGCAGGTTAATTCCTAGTTTCTCTGAATGCTTGATCCGGAAATTCCTTTCTCTTTTGGGTTAGGTTCAAAATTACAAAGCTACGCAGTTGAACATTTAGTCATAAACTCAAAATTGGGTCCAGCATATTTGAAAATAGGTCTGATAAAAAAAAATGCTTAACAAATATTCAGATACCTTAAAAAAAAAAAGTAATATTTCGCATGAAACTGTAAATACAGTACCCCCGGTTTGTAAACTCACTAGTTAATAGAATCATCCACTTATTATCAAATTCCTTAGAATGGAATAATTTACATTTTAATTTCTTCGACTGTCAGACTCAGAATTGTCCGATACTTCAATCAAAACAAGATGGCCGCTTATAAAAAATTTAACAGAAGTGCGACAGAGGTTCCCAGGTATATGGTAAATCAAGCTCTTTTTCCCTTGCTAGGATTTTATTTTTCTTCATTCTTGGTAAATAAGATTTGGGGTTTGTTAGAATATGGAAGGGCCATACTTAAAACATTGAATTACCGTTAAAATAGTTTTCTTTTTCACAATTATGGCTCCAATTGTATATTTGTGCTCACAACATCTAGTAAAACTGAGAAAACTATTTCTTTTTTATTTTATGTTACATATTACACTTAACAATAAACATTTCACAATTTAGACTAACATCTTAACAATAGAAAAATTCTTAACAATAAAGTTGAAAGTCAGTTGCTTTTGCGCTATAAATAAAAAACAAACTAACCAATATAAACATACCCTTTTTTAAATACATCTATTTCATTCTTTAATTTAATTTTCTTACGAAAAAAAAAACTCAGACAAATCCAAGATTTCAATCTGATTTTCTGAGTAAGTTCAGGGGTGATTGTGAGCCAAACTCCAAAATCCTGAAAATTTTCGAGTAAAATCATTAATGACTCATTTCAAAAAATTAATGTCTTTATAAATTTAAATCATTGATATTTTCAAAACTTAAAAATTCTAAAGAAATTATATGCAGCATAATTTAAATGAATAATTATTCATAAGTTTATTTCTATCTCTAATCACATTTCTTATTCTACCAGAAAAAATATTTTCAGATGAAAGAGATGCCAAGTATAAATTCTAGTTCTAATATTTTTAAATAAAATATACAAGAATTTTTATACATAAATGTGATCCTGAAACTTCCGGATCACGGTTAGCAAAAAATCAGGATTTTTTGCGGACTACAATCATCTCTACAAGTTCCACACTCAAACTGTGCTTTAGCAAATCAGGTTGATATGTTCATGTTGTTCTGATCCATTTTAAAAACACACACAAATAATAAAAAATTTAAAATAGTTTATTTTAGATTTGTTGTACTGCATTATAAACAATACTAAAAAGTTTTACAAGAAGAATAGAGCCACAAGATACTGAACATTTATACAAGTCTCATTTCAGTGTGTAAATTTGTAAAATCACAAATTATTATATGGCAATTTAAAATGTGTAACATTTGAAAGAGTCATAATATAAATATATTTACATTCTGGCAAGAGTTTGTTCATTCCTCCAAAATCACAAATTTTGTTTTATTTTTAAAAGGTGTATAAAAAATGTCAATCACAAAGACTAATAAAATAAATTTACAATTCTAAAAACTTGTAAGAAAGGAGCAATTTAACAAGTTCAACACCTAATAATTCCAGATTTAAACATATCTTTTTAGTAATATAACATGCAAAATTAAAAACCAAGATGTGTAATCAACATGGACAAGGTATTCAAAGTTAATGTGACACTTAGCATGTTCTGAAATTTTTTTAAGGAAAAAAAAAGATATAGTTTTTATATCTTTTTTTTAACCCTTATATTTTTGAGTGAAATGTGACAATGGAATTTATAGGCAACGGAGAAAAAATAGAGATTATTGCATCAGATTTAAAAAAATATATGTAGATTTAAATTCCTCTAAAGTTATATTAATTAATATAAAAAGAAAATGTGCAAATGAACATAACATAGTTCAATACAACATCTTAGAGAATTACATTGGAAATAAAGCAACACCTAAAGTATAGATAACATTTATGAATCAAAAAATTCATTAAAATTTAAAGATATGTATTTTATCACAGGTTGTCTTACAAAAATTAAATGTTATTTACAAATATTTGTCAAATTTAATAGCAGCATTTTACAAAATAATGAGTGATTAAGAATAAATTTGATTAAGATATACAATTCATTTAAAGATCAAACATAATGACTCTTCAGTTAAGACAAAGATTTTTTTTTCCATAAGAGTTAAAAATGTTCAAAAAGTTAGATAATATTCAGTTTATCTACAAACCAGTTAAAAGTACTAAAACACTTCCCAATAAGCAGGGACCTACTGTTTCAATAAAATTTTAGAGATAAGAATAAAACAATTATAGAATAAAGGAAAGAATAATAATGTTGCCAAGATATTTCAGCCCATCCTGTAAATTTAAATAAAAAATATATATCCAGCATCCAAGAAAAATTATTACACTTAACCAAGTATATGTAAAATTGTAAACCTTCAATAACCTTTAACAAATAGTAGCTGTCTCTCAAAAAGTGTGCATCATACACCACAATAAAATTTGTGCAGGTTAATTTTTTTTTGTAAAAAATATGCATTTAGAATAACAAGTATTAACAGACTTTTCTTATTCATGTATAAAAAATTATAAAATATATTAATTTAAAACAATTGAGCTATTATATCACCCCATTATAAGACAGAATTTTATAATTCATCATGCTTTGGACCACTGAATTCTTCGTGGGAAATGAACCCATTCCTGTCTTTGTCCTCATGTTGAAATATATCTTCAACAAGTTTATCTGATTCTGGTAGATCATGCATACCAGCTGCTTCTGCTTCAGGAATTTGCTTTTTCAAATAATCGCTTATCTGAAAACATACAAATATTTTAAATAGAACAAAACCAACAAAGAAAACAAAAATATTTAACCAAGCTTTGGTCAGAGAGAAGGCACCCTGAAACTTGGCTCATTGATACCACAGTTATGGCAAACAGCACTAATCTGACCAGTGGTTAAAAAAAACCACAAGCTCTGTGAGGAATCGTCAGATGCAGTAATGTTTCAGATGAATAGCAAACCTTAATGTTTTATTCTACTATGTGTTCTTGCCGTGCAAAGTAAATACAGTGTGATTCAGCATAGCAGTTACAAACTCGAGGGAAAAGTTCACACAAAGATTCAGAACTACACAATAATCCATTGCAGAAAATGTAAAGACGCCAGGTTCTATTCATGTACATAATTCAGCATTCTCATTAATCTAAGTTATCTTCATGTTCTCTTAATTTTTTTTTTTTTTAAAAATTGCATTTAAATAGACCCAAAATACAGTTTCATAGTTATTTACTGACATAGCAACTAACACATTTGGATAAAACAGCTCTTTCTAGGGCTCTTTGAATGCAATTTTAAAATTTGAATTTAATTTACAGAAACTGTAAAATTAGCATAAAAATTTAGATAAAATTAATAGTTCAAATGCTCACAAACAACCAGTCCTTAATGGAGAGGCATCTTTAACGATGTACAATGACATTTCTGGTCAAGTGTTGCAAAGCATTTTTAATGAGGCAGCATACCTTGTTTTTTTTTTGTAGTTCCATGAAATCAGAAAGATATCACTTGGAAGAGCAATCATTTGTTTAATTTTTTAAAATTCTTTTCTTACATTTTTTAAATTAATTTTTATATTAAGTAACTTGTTACAATAAATCAAGTTTGTTTTTATCTCTCTACTAATTTGAATAATTAAAATCATTTTTAACAGTTCTAACCTTTTCCTAAGAGTTTTGAATGGATAAAATGACAATAGACTGGTAAAATCACTTTTATTCAGTGTCTTGATCAAAATTTGTTTAGACCAGTCAAAACTGCAATCATTAGTACAAAACAATTTCTACACTTACTATAATTACTTTATTAAATGTCATGAATTGACCTTGATTTACCTTCAATGGACAAACTATCAGAATAAATATGTAACATTAACTATAAGACACGAAGGCAACAAATAATTTACCTCTTCACGAGAAAGTTGATTGTCTTCATCCAAATCTATTTCTTTGAAAACATTAACAGGTGCTGGCCCATCTTCTATGTCCAACAGTTCTACTTCAAAAATTAGAGTAGCTTTTGGAGGAATACGATCACCTAAAATACATAAAAAACTAATCGTTATAATACAATATGAATAGTCTAATTATTTACATGAATTTCAGAAGGTAGTAAATGTTTAACTAAAATTAAACTAACTTTAGTTAAATAATTAGTTGTATACATAATTTTATAAACCTCACAGTATGAATGGCGTATTTTTATAAGGGCGTATTTAGATACAACAATTTGACACAGCACAGAGCCAGTAAAGAATGCTCCAAAAGAACAAAACAGTGTTAATTAGATATTAGTCTCAATCAGTGTTGCACTTAGACAGGAGACTAGAAAAATTCTTTCTCTTTATTTAAAAAAAAAAAAAAAGACCAAATAATAAAAATAGAGTGGGAAAAAAATACAATAATTTGCCACCTTATTTTGTCATTTGACACCCCATCCTCATCACTCTAGTTCCTGAAAATACACGAAAATAATATGCATAAAAGTGTACCTAAACTAATTAACTATCTGGTAATTAAATTAACAAACTTTTTATACTGTGAAAAACTCAGACTCAGAAAATAAAAAGTATACACTATCTAATTTTTAATTAATAAGTTTAAATTTCTAATTAATTTTGCAAGATCTACCATATAAAGTTTTTGTTTAGTTGTAATTCATGAAATTAATTAGAAATTTTTGCAATTTATTGTATAAATAAGATTGTGTTCTCCCTAAGCGTTTTTTGAAAAGCGGACCGCCCTGTCGGCAATCCCTACAAAAGCGCCCTTTTTGCACAAATAAGCAGCCGTCTCTTAAAAACACCGCCTTTTCATTCATATTCCATTTTGAAAAAAATTTATAGCTTAAATAATAACTACACACTGGTAAAATTATATGTTTTAACAGGTTTAATTCTTATTACCATTACAAATATTAACTTTATTCTTCTCAACTAGTTAATTTTTTATAAGTATCTTTTTTCAGGGATATTAATACATTTTTTAGTGATTTTAAATTTTCCTTTACTCATGATTTTCAATTTAAATTAATGAAAAAAGCTTAATCAATTAATCTTTTTTTTACTTTTACCTTTTTTGAAAAAATTTTAAGCACAGAGATTTAGCATCTCTTTATTTTTACAAACTACAAACTTTTCTCTTTTCTGTTGATAATGAGAATTATTTTTTAAAATATTCACATAAAATTACTATTTTATGTGTATAAGAGGCTAATTTAAAAATTTTCTAGGATCAAATTCAGTTATAACATATTACACATTTTAATAAATTTTTTCTGTATTAAGTGAGTGCCCTTTCAAAATTTAAAGTGCCCTTTTCTGTGAGGAAGCANTATCAAGCATTTATTTAATAACATAGCTGTCATTTATAAAATTTATAAAAAATGTAAGATTAATTTAAAAGCCATTTACAATAGTTTCATATTTTTAAAAAAAAATTCTGTGGATGTGTATGTTTCAACTGCTAATAGGTACTTAAATCTCATCTTTAATAAGAACTTTCTTCAGTAGGTAGATAAATGAGCTCCAAGCATGCTTGGGAACTAAACACTGGGGGTTCCGCGCTCGACTGACCACCTAACTGGAACACCTGCTCCTGCACCCCAGAGCCCAAGGTCAAGAAAACTGAGATGGGCTCAGTAGGCCTTGGCCCTCTATGGGCTGTCGCGCCACTGAGTTTAGTTTAATTTAGTTTAGTAAGAACTTTACCTGCTCCAGCATCGCCATAACCAAGGTGAGGTGGAATTGTGAGTTTTCTTTTTTCACCAGGGCACATGTCAACTAGACCTTGATCCCAACCTTTGATCACTTGTCCGATTCCCAACTGAAATCTAAATGGCTCATTCCTTTCAAAACTATGTAGAAGAAAAAAATAAAGTTAAAAGGCTTTCACTCTATACTAATAATTTAGAAGATTAAAACACAAAATTCCTCAGAAAATTAACAAGGACAAAAAAAAGAATAAACATACAAGAAATGTCAAACAATAATTTCTTAACCTTTAATTCCCAAAGTTGCAATAAACAAATATGATATAATAGCTATCTGTATAATAAATATGCTAGCATATCTGTATAGTTAACTTGTTAAATGAGGGTCTAGCCCTGATTTAACAAGGAAATGTTAAGTGAATGGTTGGTTCGATATTAAACATGTAAAACTTATTACATGGAATCGAAATTATCGGAAAGAAAAATTAATATTCAGTTAAATTTTATTCTTTCCAAAGTTTTTTAGCTCCCTCTTTAGTTTAAATTGTTCCAAAATTAAATTGTAGAAGAAAAAAAAAAAGCTTTTTTTTAAAATTAGTTCCTGATACATTTTACCGTAAATCATTAAATTTCCATAAATAACTAAAGATGGTGTAATGAAAACCACCAAACAGATTCTATTACCGTGTTGCCTGCAACATTATGTTCATCTTTCTAGCCAAATCATTCTAAAATGCAAGCAAAATCATACTCAAAGGAAAGAGCAAGAGAATAAGAACAGTCTCAGGGCAGTCTTAATTTCAAACAAAAAATGTAGTGCGTAATAAATTTTTTGAAAAAAAAAAAGGAATTTCTTTATATATCTCTAAAAATTACAATTCTGAATAAACTTTCTTCAAAAGTTTCACAAAACATAAAACTAAGATTTTTTCCTGTGATTTCATGAAGAATTCGGCAATAAATTTTGTCCTCGGGTTTTTTTCCTACCTCTATTCAGCTTTGAATGTAAAATTTGAGAATAATGTGGAATAAACAATTAAACTACCAATATCAACATTCAGAGACAACCATATTGCCAAGAATAAATAGACAATGTTTGGGTGTGCCATGAGTGTATACTGCTAAGGTTCAATTTCATGAAAAATATAGCATTTTTCAAACAATGTAAATAAAAAATTGGTTTAACAAATTGTCTCTATACCTACGTTCTTAAGATAAACAAGTTCAGACTATATTTTAGAAACTAGAATAATAAAGCTGTTTGTTGAAAGCTTTGTCCTAATGAAATAACTGTTTTTTAAATACAGTGGAACATCGTTTATACGACCCCGAAGGGACCACCGAAAAACGTCGTATAAACGATGCTCCACTGTATATGCTATTTTGATAAGTGTTGTGAATTCATAAGTTACTCGTGTCAGTTACCTTTAAGTTTCAGCCATCTTAAACCAGCTCTTTTTTTTATTATTATAATAGGACAAAATGATAATATTAAGAAAAACAACAATTAAAAAAAATAAAACCTTTGCTATCTAGTTTTTCAAGATTAAATGGTCACTATAAAAATATGTAAAAATTAGAAATTGTTCTTTAATTTTAATAAATATTCATCAAGGTGGAAAAATCTTGTCATGTTAGCACTATTTTAAAAAAGTTTTACGTTTGTAATTAAACAGTTTAGGTAAGAGGTTTTTCTGAATTCCGCTGTGTACTAAAGGAAAGATTAAGTGAATTAAAATTATAACTATTTATCTAACTCTTATGACTAAAACTATAAAAATATTTGTCTTTTCCAATTTCTTGTTACTTTCAGAGCAATAAAATTTTAGTTCATTTTACAGCAGAGTCCTTTCGCAGCAAGATCTTGTAAATGAATTTCAAAATTAAAACTCTGCTTAGAGATTCATTTTTCTAAGTGAAAGAGCTTTAAATAACATCCTTAAAAAAATTAAACATTAACCTTAAATTTTAGGATTAGTGGCAATAATATAATTTCGGGTGGTGCCATCACAAAAAATTATAATGCCTTGGGTAGTTTTCTATTCAAGTTTCCTAAACCATAATTAAACACTGGGGAAAAATGAGTTAATATCGTTTACAAGACATCGAAATTGAACATGGTCATTAATAGGATAAAGAATAGGTCATTAGCCTCTTCTCTTTCACTAAAAAATAAGCATTAAGTAAAAATTTACTAAAATAAATGTGAACCTAACATTTATTAATTTTAAAAGTTACAAATGGAAATAAATAACTCGTAAAACAGATAATATACTAAAATAAATTCTTGATTGAAATAAATGATAACAATAATTCTTTTTTAAATAAATACCTGGAATCAAATTCTTTTCCATCATCTAATGAACCTCGATAATGCATCGACAATAAATCGCCCTTTTTTGATTTTCTATCACATTTCTCGGCTTTTTGAGTTACTTCAATGTCCAGTTCCGATTCATCACAGTAAACAATGTTAAACAGGGTAAAAGAAAGCAAAACTAAAGAAAATAAGCTCTTCATAATTATACTTTGAATGAAATAGAGAAGGTATAGAATGATTTTGATTGCAACCAAATTTAAAATGAAACACCGGCTAAATACATCGAACAAACAGTTGACGTATTCACTATTTTAATGTAAATATCGTCCCAAAAGTCAAGACACGTGTCCTCATACAAGGCGTGCTCTCATTGGTTATTGCAGTTGACAGGTTGATTAAGATTAACAATTCAAAAAAAATATCGAAATAAAGTGCAAGAAAACTGATACATTTTGAGCTGTAAGCATACACAACAATAGAGATTGATCAGTATACTGGCTGAGCCGTTCCCGCTGTATGCGAAAAGGTTCTTTTAAAATTTTACGAAAACTGAATTACTCTGAAAAGTTGTTTTGCGTTTGCGGTTTTTCTTTGGCGGAAAATTCATCAAGAAGTTGCGTTGTTTACATCTTCTTTCTTGTGTTTAAGGATTGAATTGGCGATCGCAACTCTCGTTTCATGCCTTTGGCCGTTCTCCCTTCCCTCTACTCCTCTTTTCCATTGTATAGGAATGTATTACGATATTTTCCCTTTTGTCAATATTTCTCCTTTTGATTTGATAAAACTATTTTTTAAAATTTCCATGATGCTTTTCTTTAGAACTATATTTAGTGTAGTTTTCAGTTCCGTATTCGCGATCGCAACGAACTATAGGGGGCGTTGTTGTATGAGACGCATACCTGCGATTTCTATATGAACCGTCATTCAGTTACTCTGGAGACGTCTTAAATGTAGCACGTAGCATTGCAACGTTCCTTCTTTATTGTGGCTAATTAAATTTAAAAAAGAAAAATGTTTGATATTCTTTCTTATGCAAACGAAAACAAAATGGTATCTCTTTTTATTAGAGAAGGAATATCCAAAACATATCAGAAAAATATTTGTGCATTAACAGGAAAAAGTATGTACTATATTCTTATAAGTTTCAACTCGAGTTGAAAACTAATGCCCGAGAAATAGTTTTACTAAATTTAATGATATAACATGAANGAAAAATAATAAGTAGCCCAAAAAGTAGCGGGCAGCCCAAATTCGATTTTCAATAGCGGGGACTTTTAAAAGTAGCCCAATCCGCTACTTGTAGCCCAATCTGGCAACACTGCTACTAGGGAAAACTAGCGAAGTGTTGCCATAGGTAGAGAGTTCTGCTCTACGCCACCTGCAGCCCATTTCGCTCGCTAATTATCTGCTTGTTTATTTTTCAATTATAAATAACAGTACAACCTAACTTTCTTATTTTGAGTACTACCCACTTGTGCGGTTTGAACCATCCTTTGGCCATTTCAAACTTACGTATTGTTTCTAGAGTTATGCAGTCATCTATCTTTCCTCAACGTGTGGAAAGATAGTTAAGGAATGTTGAGGAAATATTCATCTATCTTTCCTCAACATGAGGAAAGATAGATAAATATTTCCTTAACATGAGGAAACTTAGATGAACATTTCCTCAACATGAGGAATGAAATGAATTTTTCTACTTATTTATTTCCGTCGCGACCTTCGAAATCATCAACTTCTGTGAATCTCGAATTTGAAGTTACTATCTCTGAACGATTAGAATACGTGAATGCTGGTAGCTTATCCACGTATGCAATTTTCTTTACCCCTTTAGGACAGAATTCGTTCTTGAAAAGTTTCAGTTTATGACACGTCAATTCCAGCTGAAGTAAAGTTTTGGAATAACATTGTGCACCCATTCCTTTTTTGCGTGCACCCACGTCAGTGCACAAAATGTTTTAAATTTAACCATTCAACCAAACATTGTCCTGCAAACTTCCAAAGCTGTTTCTACGGTGGTGGTGAACATACACCCTCGTAATGTGTCTGTAAACTGCTATATTGCGCAAATTGTTTAGAGAATCACCCTGTTTATACTTTGATATGCCCATATTGGTTGGGAAAAATAAAATTTCTTTAATTTTAAATTAATCACCATCTACCTTTCTCAGAGGTTAGACATCAGTTCAAATCCAAATATTCCTTTTGTATTCATGCAATGATATCAATCCTGAACACGTTACGAAAGTTGAAGAGATGAAGTCTCACGTCAAGAACGCCTTATCGGTAGTAGTCACGTCCGTTGATTCTAACTTAATAGTAATTGCTCAACGCCAAAATATCCTTTTTGAAAAGCCAAACATATGGACACTCTGACACATCCAAGAGACCTTAAATAAAAACCAACAACCTCAATCAAACTTTTCTATTAGTGACATCGTGAAATTGAACAAACGCCACATTAGAAATTCTAAACGCTCATAAGTTCACAAATATCTATCTTCTACTTTCAATTCTAATATTACAAATATTATTTTGGAACTGCAAAAGCATTATTATTAAAAATTAGTAGCTTCGTACCTTCTATTTTTACGCTCATCATGCATCTATATATCCAAGAATCTTTTTTTTTTTTTGCAATCATCTGATACCTTTCATATACCCAACTTTATCATATACCATCAAAACCGAGATGGACGACATAGTGGTAGGTTGCTCAATGCTGTTGACAGTCACTATCCATCCAAAAAAGAACGGAATTCACCTTGTTGCTTTTAATTGAAGGTCCCACTACGAACTTTCAAAAATGAATCATTGAAAGGTATCACTTACCTTGCTATGTTCTATATGTATAAGCAGTACGACCAACCTTTTCTGTATATAGGTCCGGGGTTGGCGTCAATATACCTAATGATAAATATCTAATGACGACAGCCAATTTGAATAATAATAGAACATTTTATTGTTCTTATTAACAAATCATGACGATGAAATGAAATATGAATGAAATGTCTACAAGTTCAGTGATGATGAAAAAGTTCGACTTCCTCGCCTGAATACATACACATATCTCCCTTCTGCGTAAGGAGTTACGGTTGCAGTTCGTAACACACCTCCTCTTACACTCGACCACCAATGTCTGTCACCATTCACGTTCAGGCCACCAATCTTACTTTAGTCAACATGTACTTTCCTCCAGGTAAACTAGATATTTGATTTTTCAATATTGTGGACAACCTCACAACTCCTTCCTTTATCGTCGGAAATTTAAATGCTAGTCTTTATAATTCAACGCCCTCTACCCGATTTTTGAATCACCTCGGCAGATCTTTCAGCTCCACTCAACGATCCTTACACACTTGGAACAAAAACACCCACCATCATTGCTTGACATCGCTCTGATGTGTCTCGAAACACAGGGTCGCCATGAACTTAAATTTTTGAGAGGGGGAAAATTCCAATTTTTTCGAATGAAATTTAGAATTTGTCCGAATTATAATTAAGTATGTTATTTAATAACTTCCATAAAAAAAGAGTTTTTGTTGCTAATATTTTCACAATATGTTGTTTCCCCCATCAGCAGAGAATCAAAATTGTGATGGCATGTCTTCCGATCATTCTCGGGAATATTTCCCAGACCGTCTTCAATAGCCTATTGTGTTGTTCTAGTGTGACGTAAGTAAAGTACTACTACTCCACCAATATATTACTAAACGATTTTACTCTTAATTATTCCAGTCGAGGAGTCGCGATGGGTCAATGGGTAATGGTGAATTATGAAGATTTATATAATTGCAGTTACACAGCTCTAACGGACCATTTATTCTATATGCTATTTTTTTTCGCATGCGAATGAGAAGCTGATTGGCGAGCTTTAAGAGAATGAATAATTTTCACTAATCTGGTTTTCATTTGCATGCGATGTTTTTGCACGGGGAAAAATCGTAGGCATCACGCCATCTTATACAAAATCAGCACATTTGAAAACTGAATGGAAATTTAGCAATATAATCACTTATTTCAGACAAGTATTGTCTTCAATTCATATTTAAAAGGATTACAATTACTCTCGAGTGTCACTTTCACATATTAGGGGATATACACTATTCCAAGATAATACGACTCTACTCTACAACGGCAACAGTGATTTTTCAGCGCTTTTGAAAATTTTATTTTGATAACGTGATATAACCATAGAGCCGTTGGTGGACTAAGCCAGCCTCAGACAACATTTTGCGAGACCCTTTAAATATTTTCCTTCTAAGGATCTTTCCTTTCTTCCTATGATCGCTTGTCCCCTCGGAAATAAATTCAAATTATTGATTTCCAAATTCAATTCCTAAAAAAAGACAACTTTAATTACTTTTTCTTGAAATTTTCTGATTTTATCTTGAATATGCCATCTGAGGGAGATGACCTGTTCCATGGCTTGACCCTTCCCTCTCCTTCTATTCTCAGTTGTATAGGAATGTACGATGATATTTTACCCTTTCTTGATATTTTTCGTATTTAATTGTACCGATACAATTAAATACGAAATTTTTGTAACATTTTTCACAAATATTTATTTATATTTTTCACAAACATTTTGATTGATTGATTGATTGTAGAGTTTAATGGCACAAGATCCAAAAGAGGACATGCTGCGCCAACACAAACATTTTTTAAAATTTCCAAGACGCTTTCTTCTCGAACTATGTTCAATGTAGTTTCCTAACTCAAAAGTTTTTAATTTATTTGAAAATCAAGACAGAAGCTAACGTACTTCCTTCTCCTATGACTCGCCACACGCGAATGGTGAAAGCATGCGAAGTCTTGTTATAGGTAGAGAGTTCTGCTCTACGCCACCTTCAGCTCATTTTGAATGCCGATATTTATCTTGAAATGAAGAGTTTTGAGTACAAAAGGTCCCACCTAATTCTGTATTTTAAATTCATACAAAATTTTGGCCTCGAGAAATGTGAGGTTTGCCGCCTTTTTTGAAAAAATTAATCTATATTTCAAAGTAAAAAGCATCGTTTTCTAATGTTTAATGCTTTGAATAAAACTTTAAAATAACTAAAAAATTCTCAAATATCTTCGACATAAGGCCTCCTAAAGTCTTGAGCACGTGAGGTGCTGTTGGGTAAAAGGCTCGATAGCCCCACCCTTATGTGCAATGATGTATAGTATAACTGCTAAGCACGGTATAATAGCTTCCGGCGTTTGCATTACACCAATCAAACGTCGACAGGCAGATAACACGTAGAATTAAGTGTTATTTATTTTAGGGAAAACAGGTTAATTTTGCACACACAAAAACTGGTAAGTAATAAAATAAGAGAAATTATACAGAGGGAGGGTTTTAGATATTTCAAAAGGAATGAAATCGA